TGCCTGCTTGGCTTTCATCTTCATTATTCCCATCCATCCCTTTGCACTTACATCATGCATTTTCCAGATTTTATACATTGTAATAATTTGGCTCCAACAAGCTGAGCAAAATCCAAGGTTTGCCTGCCCGGACCTGTGTCTTTCTGATACCATCAGGTGATAATGACTGTTTTGAAGGGTTTAAGATTAAGTCTACACAAAAGAGTGACTGGTACTCAATACAGCATTGTGGTATGTGGTATTTTCTTGTGAAACGCCAAATATATAAAAGGATTTTACACATAACAAAGTAAAAATAAAAACAATTTTAAGGCAAGTATTTTATTTTTTGAAGTTCTCAGATGGGGTGTTTCACATAGTGTGTAAACTACTGTACGTGTTTACATTTTACAGAAAGAACTTGCCAGAACAGGACCAACTGCTTCTTAAAATACTTCTTTTGTCACTGATCTGCTGGAAAAAACTGTAGCACTAGGCTATGTTGAAAATTAATATTCAAGAACAGAGGGTTTGAGGGGCCCCACGAGCCTTGTGCGGTTGAGTTTGCATTCGCTCAGACATCTCTTTCTTGCTTGTTGCTAGGCAAAATAACAACATCATTTTATCTGATATAGATAAGAACCTTCAGGGACCCAAGATCCAGCTGTGCTTCAAGTTTGGCTGGAAACTTGAAGCAAATTATTAAGGAAATAATTTGGCGATGAGAACTCACATTTAATGCAATAATTCTAAACTAATAACTATTACAACAACAATAAAAGCATATTGCAAAATCTGACAATAAATAAACACTTTCCAATAATACTGTATTGTGGGTGAAGTACTGTAATAATAACATATGGTAGGATATCCAGTGATTCCCACCTCTAGTAAAAAGACCTTTCAGATGCTACAAGTTGTTTTGAACGGCCGATGTAAGGGTATTGCTTCAGAGTATCTAAACAAGACACTAATGAGCTGTAACTTAGGTCTGAGGCGAGCGACAGGACATGTAATTCTGATTTAAGAGGTTTACTTTATATTATTAAAATAGTGTCACACGGTATAAAAACTACACCCACCGATACCTAATGAAGCTCCCTGTCTGACTCCACTGTACGCTGTCACTCATTATTATAAAGACAGCAACATTAACAATCAAGTGCACATGCACTTATCTTTATACATTACGCTTTTCTTATGCAAAAGCGTAATGTATAAAGATAAGTGCATGTGCATTTGATTGTTAATGTTGCTGTCTTTATAATAATGAGTGACAGCGTACAGTGGAGTGAAACTAACTTTGCAGTCTGTGCAAAATTTAAACTAAATCTTCTTAAGACTGTGGCTCTTACAGGCCCTCTTCCCAAATGGTGATATGAACCTTCTAAGTTAACCCAAAATACACTCTTATCTGTTCTCAAAAACAAACACACACACACACACACACAAAAAGATAAACATTCAGGATACCACTGACTGTTTTGTTTACTCTACATAACAGACATTAAATTGGGCCAGTGAAGCAATGATACGTTTACCTTGATATTTGTGCTCAAAATTGATCACAAATTGTGCTGAACAAAATATTTCGGCTGTAGATTGTGACGCTTGGACTGGGCGTAAAATAGATTACGTTTTAATTATAGATTGCGTTTCAATGTGTTTATCAGCCCAGGAACAATGTAAATTATAAATGCTAAATATCAAGCAACACCTGTGCATTTAAAAATTCTGCAAATAGCACAGTTTTCATATTATGAAGGCAAAGTTTTGCATGCATTCACTGAAAACAATGCAGATTTTTATGGAATGA